CTTCAACTCCAAAGGTGTCATCCTATAGGGAGCAATGGATATGGGTTCGGTTCCCAGATATAGATCAATCGTAAACTCAATCTCTCTCTGTGGGGGTAGCCCTGGTAGTTCATCTGAAAAGACATCCGGAAACTCTGACACTATCAATACCATTTTCGATTGAGATCTATTCCGATCATCTCCCATCAAGCTAGCTAAGAAACTCAAATGGTCCCCCCGCCTTAGCTTTCAAGAATCTACTACCCGTAGTAGGAAATGGATGGAAAGAATTTCGGTCATTCATGAAACTGAAAACTACCCCTCCCGATAATTGAAATGAAATCTGTTTACGAAAACAATCCATTACCGCACGGAAGGTAGACAACAAGTTCATCCCAAATATTATGTCATACCCCTTCATGTCTAACGCAACCAAATCTACAATTAACTCTTGCTCCTCAATTCGAAGCACACAACCTCTACACACCCTTCTAGAATCCAACCGTTCTCCTGTAGGCATGTCAATACTCAAGGCATGTTCTAATTTACCAAAGTCCAATCCCAAATTAAGAGCATATGCAGTGCGTATGAATGAATGAGTAGCATCAGGATCAAATAAGATTTGGGCCCAAGAATAGTAAAGAAGAACAATACCTTCCACAACGGCATTGGAAGTATCTTCCTCCAGTTGAGTTAATGCGAACACTCTCCCTTGATTGGCACCGCCAGGTGCTATAGCTCCTAACGGTCTCTGTTGTAGTAGTTTAGGTAGTGGTGACTTGTTTGCATCAACTTGTCTAGCTGCTTGGTTGGTCTTTGGTGGCAACGATGGACAGTTATATCTGAAGTGCCCGACACCTCCACATGTGAAGCATTGACGTGTGTTAGTGCCTGTTCGATTCTGAGTAACCCCTTCTCCTCGAACTGTCTGAAGTCTTTGTCTGGCCACCTGGTCTGGGCGACGATATGATGCCGCCCTCTACACTCCACTGCTACTAGCACCTGTCCAGATCGGGCCTCATCTTGTTAAGTTCTATCGCCGCTGGTTGTCCTCCAGGTCTCATTCCACCAGTGCAGCTCTATCAACTAGATCCCCATAGTGTTGGATCTTGTGGGCCACAAGCTTCTTTCGGATGATAGGCCTTAAGCCCTGCTCAAAGCGTTTGGCTCTCTTGGCCTTGGTGGATATGAACTCCTTGGCATATCGAGATAGGTCATCAAACTTCCTCCATACTCGGCTACCATCATGCTGCCCTGTCGTAGAGCTAGGAAATCTGCTCTCATCTTGTCCTTGACGGATTCAGGAAAGTACTTGTCTTGGAAGATTTGATCAAATTCCTCCCAGGTAAGAGCATCCGTGTTCCTCCTTCTCTTCACTGAATCCCACCAATGGTCTGCCTCTCCCTCGAATAGATATGTAGCCAAGCCAACCCGTAAATCCTCGGTAACTCCCATGCCATCACACATCTTCTTCACCTGGCAGATCCGTTTATCTGCATCCAAGGGGTTAGAGCTTCTTTGGAAAGTAGGTGGGTGTTGCCGTAGAAATTCTCGAAGAACTACCATCCTTCGATTTTCATTCCCGTTGCCCGGTACTTGAGCTAATGGATGAACCCCACCGTTATGGTTGTTGTTTCCATTCTGGTGTTATACCAGAGTGGTTAGCTCCCGTAGGCATTGGTATATGTCATTCATAGCATCGGGAGGTGGTGGTGGTGGTGGTGGAGGATTTGCTTGACCTCTACAACCACGCCCACGTCCACGTTCACATCCACCGTCCATCCTACACATCAATTCACAATTTAGTTTCTTTGATGTACAAGACATCCTAACTATCACTTTAATCTAAGGCCCAAGACGTGTATAAAACTTATATCAACAATCTTATTCAACCTAATCCTACCCCTCTAGTGGTAATCCATAACTTACAGCTCCCATGTAAGACCTAAAGTCTAGGCTTTGATACCAAAATCTGTAACGGCCCAAAACCAACCTTGGACGACATTACAATCTAAAAATCATTCACAACACGAGAGCAACTAATAATATCCATAATTAAGATAATTTCATTCATCATTCATAATATCTACAATGTTATCCAAAAGAATATGTCAAACTATGGCATCTACATCCCAAAATAATATATCAAATTATGACAATTGCATCTCAAAAGAATCAAGCTTAATCTTTCAGCGGAATAACAAAATACATCTATTAGTATACCAAAATATATCCCCTAATCTAAAACATGGGGAGATCAACTCTAGGCATCCCCCTCGGGATTCACGCTTTCCTCCAATTGTGCTTCCCAAGCCACCTGCTCGTCAGCTCCGAGCTCTTCATCTAACCTGACATCTGAGAATCAATAATATTGTAAGGGGTGAGCACTAAGCTCTGTAGCAATATCCTACCAAACTTGAACAAGGTTTAGAAATCATATAAAATAGTTTGATCTCCTTTTCTAAAATATCATATATAACTTGAAGTAAAAAAGTGACAGTTTATTTGATCTCAAGTTAACGCAATGGCAATAAGTTAATTGAAAAGAATAATCATGATAGGATTAAAGAAAAATAATAAATTATACAATAGCCTCATCCCATATTCTCATGTATGTTGGTTGCTTCCCATGAATCTACACCATGACTTTTACCTCGTTCACCTATCACAATCACACAATCCCAAATATTTTAGGAACGGCGTATACAGTCTCCCATGGCATTGACAAATTCTTCCCAGGAAAGATATATCATCCCTCAGCCTCGAACTTACGTGAACAATAGTGGTTGCTCTCACAAACAACAAACCACTACAAGTGTTAGAAAACCATCTCAGCCCCACTGGAATAGACTAATTTCTAACACTCTACAGCAATGCTTGAATGCAATTTAAGTCCATCACAAGAACCATACAAGAGATGCAAAAACAACTATTTTCGCACATTACACGTACATCAAAAACCCCAAACTTCCATAGGTACCTTCTCCGATAGAACAATTTAAGAAAATATGCAAGAGATCATCACAAATACTATTTTTGGTGTTCAAAACAAAGCACTAGAGTTTGAAAACCAAGAACAATGGAATATTAAGAAGAAAAATCTATTTTTCTCAAAAACTAGAGTTTTCAAGTCAAGAGGAGAAATTTCGTGGCTATATAACCATAGCTTTGTTTAAAACATGGCAATAAGTGCAAAAGCATCAAGAGATAGGGGTTTCATAGCATATACTTAGGATTGAGAGTAAAAACATATATACATATAAATACCTTGGCCTCAATGTACAAGAATGGAAGAAAGCCCCTACCTTGGTGTTCTTGAAAAATTAGGGCTTTGATCCAATCCAATGTGCAAATTCCCTTTGATCTTGTGTTTTTCCCTCCATTTCTTCCTCTCTAAGGTTTCCTAGGGTTAGAAAGGTTGAAATTGGGCTAATGGAGGCGTCATTATGTATTTATAGGGTGAAAAATGGACCCCAGATCGCGACTTAAAATTTCTAGAACTTACAGAGTGTACCGGTATGCAGTACCGGTACAGTAAACTCTCTGGACAGTAGTGTACTGGTACGATAACTTCCGGGCACGCAGTACCGGTACGGTCTGCTTAGTTTTACCGATTTCCTTTGTTTTTCATTTCCAACCCATTCTCAACCCTTCCAAAACCAAGCCAAACTTATATAACATACATTTCGACATCAAAAATAGTGGGTACAAGTTCGATTACAAAATTTTTCTTTATATATTTACTTGTTACATATTAAAATAAAAGTGTGGGGGTTTACGATCATGGAAGTTGGTGGTGGTGGTTACTGTTCGATGCTAATGCCGTGGCAACCTCCATCACCAGAAATTGTCGGTGATGGGCAGCAACAAGCCCAACACTTCTCTTCTCTGACTTCGACTCTGATGTGTGAACACTGAAGAAAGAAGATGTCCTTGAATAAGGATTAGAAAATATTCTTTCTGATTAGATTTTTGTTCATTGCATTCCTATTTATAGAGTCTCTTNCGATGCTAATGCCGTGGCAACCTCCATCACCAGAAACTGTCGGTGATGGGCAGCAACAAGTCCAACACTTCTCTTCTCTGACTTCGACTCTGATGTGTGAACACTGAAGAAAGAAGATGTCCTTGAATAAGGATTAGAAAATATTCTTTCTGATTAGATTTTTGTTCATTGCATTCCTATTTATAGAGCCTCTTTTATACACTCATAGTTAGTTTAATAAATCTATTAATCCTAACTAATTACAACTGGTTGAACTAACTCTAACTAGTTCTAACAAACTCTGTTGACCCAACATCAGTGAGCTGATCCAGTACTACTGTGATGTAGAGTGATGCACTACTGCTGCTGTTGTGATGCAATGTTGCTGTTGCTGAGGTAGCTGAGGTTATGCTAATACCCTCCCTCAAGTTCATGGAAGGATAGTAAAGCATGAGATTGTCCTTGAGAAGGAGGAATCTGGCTTATAAAAGATCCTTAGAGTATCTCCAACAATGCTATTTAAAATAGATATTCAAAATATATTTAAATATTATATTATCTATTTTAACTAACCACTTTTTCAAATTCACTCTAACAATGCTGTCTATTTTAACTAACCACTTCAACTAACTTTCAATAATAAAATTCAAAAAATAAAAATTACAAGAGTAAATATTATAAAAGATGGGCTATAAGAGTAAATATCATAAATAAGATGTAGAGAGCTTCATCAAAATCTCCTTCAGAGCTTCAGGGCTCTCGATTCACAGTGCTTCAGAGCCGATTNAAGCTTCAGGGCTCTCAATTCACAGAGCTTCAGAGCCGATTGAGAGATAGAGAGAGTGAGATCGATTGTGAGAGAGAGTGAGAGAGATAGCCTACTAGAGATGGAGTATCTTTGATAAAGACGATGTTGTGGAATGTGCTTCGCAATGAAGACNGAGCTTCAGGGCTCTCGATTCACAGTGCTTCAGAGCCGATTGAGAGATAGAGAGAGTGAGATCGATTGTGAGAGAGAGCGAGAGAGATAGCCTACCAGAGATGGAGTATCTTTGATAAAGACGATGTTGTGGAATGTGCTTCGCAATGAAGACGATGCCTTTTGTTGAGAGAGCCTTCTGTGAACTGATCTGCGATGATGAAGACGATGCCTTCTGTGGAGCTTTGTGCAGTGACAATTTTGGCTCAAATCCAACGATTTTGGAGGAAATACCTAGCCTATTCAGTCTCTAGATCCAGCAAGCCAATATTAGCTTATGGATAATAGCGAGCGAGATACCTAATCCGTTGGAGCCAAAATTTGTGGAGTGGCTATCTAAAATAGCTAACAAGGCTATTTTACATAGCCTGTTGGAGATGCTCTTAGTAAAAACATATGTCCCCTGATCAATTGTAGTGACATATTGGACCTCAAGATCCTTTCAAATTACTCTCTCTCTATCTCTCTCTAATGAAATGGTAGTCAATCTCTATGTTTTTAGTCCTAGCAGGAAACAAGGGATTGGGTGCCAAAGCCAAAGTTGAAATGTTATCGCACCAAAGCCTTGGAGTTTCAGAGAAGAAGACATTAAGATCTCTGAGAAGCATTCTAAACCAAGCAAGTTCTACAGTAATAGAAGATTGTGCTTGATCCCAATGAACAAGATTGGTACCAAGAATAATCACAAATCCAGAGTGGACCTTTTGTCCATTGGATCACCAGCCCAGTCTGCATCGGTATATGCTGACAAACGTAAAGAGCTAGGAGCATATTTGATGCCAAGAGAGCTTGAAACTTTAAGATACCTTAGAATATGTTTGATAGTAGAAAAATGAACACAGTGGTGGGGTTAAGCATGAATAGATAGACCTGATTGCAAATGAAATGTATGTTCTAGTAAATATTAGATACTGAAGAGCACCAAGGGCAGAGTCAGGATTTTTGTTTATCCCGGGCTAAGGTAAGCATTCATACGACTAACAAAATACAAACGTAAACTCATAAACATAGCCCACTAATGGCCCAAAAAAATTGTTTTTAATGTTAGCCCAATTTTTTATTTTTTTTTAATGTTGGCCCAATAATTTTGTTTTTAATGTTAAGTCATTAATAGGTTNATTTTTTTTTTTTAATGTTGGCCCAATAATTTTGTTTTTAATGTTAAGTCATTAATAGGTTTGGGTAGATTTTAATAAGTTTGGATAGATAATATTGGTCTCAAATATTTTTGTTTTAAATGGGTTAAATTTTTTAATTTTTTTGGATAAATAATGTGGGTCTAATATAAATGAGGGGGGCACACATAATATATTATATAAATATATAATACATATACCCTACTAATAATTTTTTTTTTTTACTCTGGGCTGCCCACTGTAGCCCACTAATGACCACATCCTTAAAGAGCACCCACTAGGCTTCTACTGAGAATGGGATCTGGAAGAGGTGTACCACCAGTTTTGATGAGTCTAGAGGTTGATATATAGGAATTTATGAGGGCTTAGAGTCATATATTTGAGCTCTAGATAACAAATCAGTAATATACTTGGACTGATGTTAAACAGACCATTGGAAAGATACTGAATTTCAAGACCAAGAAAGAAGTGTAACAATCCTAAATTTTTCATGTCAAGCTCAGTATTAAGATCCAAAATCAGAGACTGAATATATGAAGAGTCATTACCTATAAAGATAATGTCATCTACATAGAGTAGAAGAATGATAATGGACTGAGATGTACACCTAACAAAGAGGGATGAATCAGCTGAGGAGACCTAAAAATCATAGGTTTTTTAAATGAGTTGTGAACTTCTCAAACCAAGCTCTAGGAACTTATTTGAGAGCATAGATAGATTTGTGCAACTTGTAGACAGGTTGAGGGTAATTAGGGTCCACAAAGCCTGGTGGTTGAAGCATGAAGATATCTTCTTGAAGATTCCTGTGCAGAAATGTATTTTTGACATCTAATTGATGAAGTCACCGACCATAGTGAATAGCTAAAGCCAAAACCAATTTAGCAGTTTCTTGTCTAACTACTAGTTCAAATGTTTCATGTTAATCCAAGTCATGTTCCTGATGAAATCTTTTTACTACAAGTCTTGCTTTGTATCTAGCTACAGTTCCATCAACATTGTGTTTGATCCTATACACCCACTTTTAACCAATAATGTTGAGATTAGATGGAGGCACCAGGGTCTAAGTGTCTTGTTTCTACAATACTGAAAACTCATCTGCTATGGCTTGTCTCCATTTAGAGACTTTAGAAGGTGAGGTGTATGAGGTGGGTTCAGTAATAGAAGATTTCAAGTAGGCTTTCTTCTTAGTACGTCTGGCTTAGCTCTAGGCTTCATAGAATGTGTCTTAACGGGTGGGATAGTAGAATGAGAAACCTATAAAGAGGTAGTAGTAAGAGTTGCAGGATTTTGACTGATCTAAGGTGAGGTAGCTAAGGTTTAAATGTTTAGAACAAGTGCAGTTGAAGATGGCTCAGAAACAATGGGATTAAGAGAAGAAAGAATGAAAGGTGAACACGGCCAGCCCAACGGTATGTAAAAAAAATGGGNACTGATCTAAGGTGAGGTAGCTAAGGTTTAAATGTTTAGAACAAGTGCAGTTGAAGATGGCTCAGAAACAATGGGATTAAGAGAAGAAAGAATGAAAGGTGAACACGGCCAGCCCAACGGTATGTAAAAAAAATGGGTTCTTTGGAAGCCAGTACACCTAATTAGATTTATTCTAAAAAAAATACATAGAACAACATATTTAAAAAAAAAAAAGTACATTGCTAAGATAAAAAGACATAAATGTCCATTTTAGAGTCATTTAATTCAAAATCTCTTATATTTAATGCACCTTAATTCATGTGTATTTATTAATACATATAAATACGTATATATATATATATATATATACTTATTGTTAAATCACTTATATATACGTACTAGTAATAACTTGTGCCTAAAGGCACTTTGTAACTTAAAAATTAATTTAAAATAATTTTTCCTTCATTTGCTTGAATTATAAAAAAAATCGAAATAAATATAACCTCCACTATTTTTTCAAAAAATTTCAACAAAGTTTTCTTTGAAAAGAACTCAAGAAAATCTCAATCTGTCTACGGTGACATCAATTGCATTATTATTGCCAAACACAAACTATTCAATCTCCCAACACAAATCATTGCATATCCAATCTCAAGAATAAATTATTCAACCTAACTCAAAGACAACATCAAATTTTATTCACTACATAATCAAAACCAAAATAATATTTATATTATAATTACAAAAGTCATAGCCACATGTAATAAAGTCCAACCAAAAAACTAAATCCACATAAATAAGAATTATTTAGTTTGAATATTCCATATTTCGAAACATCGGTCAATAATGAAATTGTAACATTTACCNTCAAATTATATTTATGCATTAAATATTTACTACTACTAGTTTTATAGGAGAATTTAATATTTCGTTTATTTTAGAATATATCAGTTGTTTGAATTTCAAAATTTGTTAATATCCAAACTCCATAATAGTGTAACAAAAACAATATAACAAATACACTGTAACAAAGACAGTGTAATAATACATTGTAACAAAAATAGTGTTCAGTAGTTTTGTGCATGTGGTAACAAATTCAAAACAGATATGAGCTATTTTGAATGAAATTATATGAAAGTATATGTTTGACAAAATGTAATAGTACAATATTTTGTGTAAATAACTTGTTACACTGTTATTGTTACACTATTCGGATATTAAATTAATTTGAAAATAAAACCATTTTTCAAAAAAAAAAAAACATGAATCAAGGTNATACAATATTTTGTTTAAATAACTTGTTACACTGTTATTGTTACACTATTCGGATATTAAATTAATTTGAAAATAAAACCATTTTTCAAAAAAAAAAAAAGCATGAATCAAGGTGCATTAAAGATAATTCAAAATTTAGATAAGAGATTTAACAATAAGTATATATGTAACACATGAATCAATGTGCATTTAATATAATTTGAAAACAAAATTACTTTCCAAAAAAATTCACATGCATGAAGGGAGTACATACAAATATGGAATATTAAAGTTCTCCAAAAAAAAAAAAGTTCTCCTATAAAACTAGGAGATATTTAATGCACTATTTTCCAAAGAAAATACACATGGATCAATGGAGGACAAAAATGTTACAAAAAAATCAGTAAAATTCAAATAATGTACTTAGATACAAATNATTTATTTCACTTTAAAGCCTCCCAATATTCATGTAATGTGTTCACCTCCTTAACACTCATTCACATTTAGTTGCAGGACCAAAATCCATCATTTACGCTATAATTACCTGCAACATCAAGATTTTAACATTATTCATAAATTCAACTAACTCTAAGTAATTAAATTCAAAGTTGAGTTAGAATGCATGTAATGAAGCCGTTAAATATGCAATATTATGTGCTCATCAATGTGCACAAGAAGGCATTCCTCACCGAAGAAGTGAGCTCCATTTTGAGGACCAACACACCACCAATGTTCAAAGACCTCGGCTGCCCAACCATTACCATCACAATAGGAAATTTTCGGGTGGAGAAAGCACTTCTTGACTTGGGGGCAAGTGTCAACCTCCTACCCTACTCAGTTTACCAAAAACTACAACTTGAAGAGTTGAAACCAACTCCAATCACTCTTCAATTGATGGATAACAGCGTTAGAACACCAAGGGGAGTAGTTGAGGATGTTTTAGTTCAAGCCGATAATTTCTATTATTATACTTCTTGTCATAGTAGGTAGGTCGTTCCTTGCTACATCTAATGCTATGATTAATTGTAGAAACAGTCTAATGAAGCTTGCTTTCAGGAATATGACAATGGACCTTAACATGTTCAACTTGTGCAAGCAACCGGGGGGATGACGAAGAAGTACATGAAATCAACCAGATTGACACTTTGTTGGAGGATCACTTGTAGATACTTAGCAGTTTGAATTTGGAGGAGGGGGAGATTATTGATCAAGAGGAGCCAAAAAGTTTACAAGAGTTAGAAAAATGAACCCCAACATTTGAGAGACTTACATTGCAAGAGAAAAAGATCTTTCCATCAACTATGCAAACCCCAATCTTGGAGTTGAAGCCGTTACCATCCAACCTCAAATATGCATTCTTAGGGGAGCATAAGACCTTCCCAGTGGTAATAAGCTCAACATTGGAGGTGCAACAAGAGGAGGAGTTGTTATGTGTATTGAGGAGGCACAAAGG